GGGGGCGTGTGCCTTGACGGCAGCCTGATCCCCGCTCTCTATCGCACCTCGCAGCAGGGGTGGCGTGCCTCCTTGTGTCTGGTGTTGGTGCATCTCCGTCAGCGTCGTGCGGATGAGATAAAACTCCCGAAACAGCAGCACAAACGCAATCACGCCGCACACGGCCAAAGCCTGCGGCGCCACCGCTCGCGGGCTTGATCTCATATCTGCGCTTGAGGTGGATGTGGCTGTTGATGTGGTTGTTGTGGTGGTTGCGGCTGTTGGTTGATGTGATGTGTTTTTCGCGCGTTTGTCTTTGTCGGTTGAGGCCGTTCAACCTGCAATGCAGAAAAGCAACTGAAGTTATGATATACTTTTCCGCAACCCACGTGTCCTGCACAACAAGCAAGCAACCACACACACAGACACACACACAGACACACACACACACACACACAGACACACACACACACACACACACACACACACACACACACACACACACACACACACACACACATACACACAATGTCGAGGCGTGTTGGAGACGAGGAGGAGGAGAGCTACCGCCCTCCAAAGTTGCCAAAGACCCTGCATGAGAAGGACAGCGCCAAGCGCTTGGTGGTCGTGCTGGAAGGCGCCTCGCTGGAATCGGTCAAGGTGAGATCGCGCAGGACATCGGTTGCTTGTGAGCTGTGATGTGCCATGTGAGAGAGAGAGAGAGTGTGTGTGTGTTGATGTGCGTGTTTGTGCGTGTGTTGATGTGCATGTTTGATTTCGCGTCTCCACACCCTCTCTTTGTTGCGTCAACGTGCGTCGCCTCACAACACACACACACACACACACTCTCTCTCTCTCACACACACACACACATACACACACACGCACACACGCACACGCACACACGCACACGCACGCAGGTTGGCAAGTCATATCAGTTGCTCAACTCTTCAGATCACGCCTCTATCATTAGGAAGCAAAACCGCGACAGCAAGAACATCCGACCTGACATTACACACCAGGTGAGCTAACAGCAGCCTCTCGCATTGGTGCATTGCTCACAAGGACCTCATATCATGCACGTATTTTGCTCACGTGTGTTGTGTGTGTGTGTGCTGGTGCTGGTCAGTGCCTCCTGATGCTGCTGGATAGCCCATTGAACAAGGCCGGCCTGCTGCAAGTGTACATCCACACAGCGCGAAACGTGTTGATTGAAGTGCATCCCCAAACACGTATCCCTCGTGTCTTCAGCCGCTTCTGCGGTCTCATGGGTACGTGCTGATTCCGTGTTCTGGGCCTGAACGGCCACGCGCACGTAATTGTGGCAAATCACTGCAAGTGTCGCTGCCGACATTGTAGAGCAGTGCACTCTGTGTCCCAAACATAAAGCTGACACGTGTGATTTGGTTTGCTCTCCTTTGTGTGGTAACTGTACAGTGCAACTGCTGCATGATCTGAGCATCTCCGCCAAGGGGTCGCCCCTGAAGCTCCTGAAAGTCATCAAGAACCCAATCACAGACCACTTGCCCACGGGCTGCCACAAAATCTGTGAGCACGGCTGTGTGCGTGCGTGTGTGCGTGTGTGCGTGCGTGAGTGTTAATGTGTGCGTGCGTGTGTGCGTGCGTGTGTGCGTGCATGTGTGCGTGCGTGCGTGTATGTGCATGTTAATGTGTGCGTGTGAGTGTGAGAGCATGTGCTCGTGTGCGTCGTTGTCTGCATCTTGTTGCTGCCAACACCCACACCCGCAGCCACACCCGCAGCCACACCCGCAGCCACACCCACACCCACAGCCACAGCCGCACCCGCACAGCATCATACATGCACCTCTCCTCACAACTCCTTTCTCTCGTCACCATCTGGCCACCAGGCACGTCGTATTCCAGCAAGAAGCTCGTGCGGCTGCGCAAGTTTGCCGAGGAGCGTGCCCCCGACAAGCCCATCTGCTTCATCGTCGGCGCTGTTGCCCACGGCGCCGTGGAGCCCGAGTGGGCAGACGATGCTGTTGCCGTGTCTGGATACGCCATGTCTGCGGCAGGGGTGTGTGCGAAGCTTACAGACGCGTTTGAGGAGGTGTGGGGCGTACACTGATGGGGGGAGGGTCAGGCGTTGGTGGACATGTGCTGTGATGGTGATCAGTTGTGTGGTGGCTGGCTAGTGATGGCGGTTGGGGTATGTGCTTGTGCGTGTGTGTCGTCGATTTTGTATCCATGCAAGAGGCCGTTTCTTCTCTTTTTCAGTCCATCATGTACAGTTTAAACACAACAATTGAAACAAACACACGAGCCAGTGCAAGTCATCCTAACGCCCATGCAACGCAATCAGTGAACGCATGAAAGAGGGAAGGAACAACATGCCCGAATGTCGCGAGATATTCTCATGCGTTCGATTCAGCAGCGCCGGCATCACCCTCCACTGCTGCGCTCATATCCAGAAACACCACGTCTCTCGCGCCGTGCTCGCCTCTCCCCTGCACACCAAAGCCCCCACCACCCCTCTTCTCACCACCACCACCACCACCACCACGGCGTCGTGCACTCGTGCTGCTGCCGATGCTGTTGCTGTGGTTGCGGCTGTGCCTGCGTGGGCGTGGTTGTGCCATACGGCGACCAACGCGTTGCACGGACAGGGCCGAGGAGAATTCAGGCAGCCCACCACGCTCATCGTAGTCCTGCTCATCGTACTCCTCGTCCTCCTCGTCCTCGTAGCTGTGGTCACAATCGCCTTCACCTTCATGCTCCTCGTCCTCGTACCCATCATACTCTTCACTGTAAGCATACCCATCATACTCGCCATCGTAATCGTCATCGTCTCCATACTCCTCATCCCAATCGTCGCTGGCGTGGCGCATGCGTGGCGGGACACGTGGGTTGACGCGGTGTGACCAGCGATCTGCGCCAAGTGCAGCTGCAATGTTGCTCGAGACTGCCGGTGCTGACTGTGTAGCCATGATGGGTGAGGATGCGCACGAAGACAGGTACAGTGACGTCTGCGATGAATCTGCTGATGAGGACTGCTGCTGCTGCTGCTGCTGCTGTTGGTGTTGTTGTTGTTGTTGTTGTTGTTGTTGTTGTTGTTGTTGTTGTTGTTGTTGTTGTTGTTGTTGTTGTTGTTGGCGAGCAGTGGCAGTGGTTGCGCATGTGTCCCACTGGTCGCTGTCACTCGATGATATGACGTCAGCATGGCCGTCAACGCGACCACCAACGCCATCACGGCTGTATCCTGCGCCCGACCCCACCGAATTCTGCAATGATACTGATCTGTCATCATCGCTTGTCACCATCACATCGCCACCATCTCGAACACCACGTCCCGGGTATCTGCGGTTGAATTCGCGCACCTGCTGCACCTCCGCCGCCCGGTCACCGCCCTTGTTGCGCAGGTCCCACACCAGCACTGGCGGCTCGCTCCACTCCATTGTCCGGACCACGCGCGCGGGCGACCCATGCACGCCGAATGTGCTGTCGCCGCAGCTGCTCTCACCAGCATCGCCTCCACGACCACCAATGACATTCTCCTCATCTTCCCTCACACTGAAACCGCGCTGTCGCCGTTCTTCCTCTGCAGCACGTGCCTGCGCTCTGTGATGGTCGCGGTGGGGTGAGCGTGTGGCCTGCGGGGGACTGCAGACACTCTCACTCCTTTGTAGATGCGTCGCACCCCACTGCTCACCACGTTGCGTGGTGTGGGTTTCTTCATGCCCGCCGTTACGGACGACGGCAGCGCGTGTGGCGTGGGTGTCGCTCATGCTGCTTGTAATCTTTGGCTGCCGGCCAGGCTTGTGTAGCAACTGCTGGGCGTGCCTTGCTGCTGCTTCTGCTTGCGCTGTTGCTGACGATGCTGTTGCGAATGTTGCCGGTGGTGCTGATGGCAATGGCGGTGCTGTTGCTGTTGGGGGTGGAGATGACGGGTGCTTCTTCAGTGTTACGTAGGGTGCGCCTGCCAGATGTGGCGATGACGGCGGTGACTCCGTTGGCGATGCTGCCGTGGATACGGGGTGCGGGTGCTGTTGGTGGTAGTTCCGTCGTGGCTCCTGCACATGCCCGGGGGCGAGCTGGTCGTGGTGCGAAAACAGGGAGGATGACGGGGCAGGAGCGATTTCGGCAGTCGTGCCCGGTGGAACGTAGTGCGGTGACACTGATGTCCAGTCTTCATCGTCCTCTGGTGTCACGCCTCGCATGTCGAGATTCTCTGTATTCATTAGCGCCGACACTCGGTACATGCCGTCGCCAGCTCGGGTGCCATGTATAGCATTGGCGTCTTCAGTGTCGTCATGACCACCACGGTCGCCGTCATCATCGCTGCTGGCGCCGTTGCTGCAGTCAGTGAGGGGCAGGTCGTGAGCAGCCAATTCAATGGAGAGGAGAGATGAGCGGTGGCTGCGTGGGCTGTCACCGTCGTCGACACGGAGGCCCACATTGCCACCAAGCTGATCACCACCCTCATCATCATGCCTGTTGGTGCCATCAGCATGACCACGCAGACGGCGCAGCTGAAACCTCCTTTTCCTTCTGCGACCACGGGCACTGCTGCTGCCACCATCGTCATCGACACCATCACCTCTATGCTTGCTGTCGCCGTGTCTGTCACCATCATCATCATCATCATCATCATCATTATCATCATCCTCATCTCGTCGTTGCCGTCGCCTGTCATCACCATCACCATCACGCCCACGCCTGCGCCCGCGCCGCCTTTGCCGCTGTTGTTGTCGCTGACGACCACCACGACGACCGCCATCATCTTCGTCGTCCCAGTCGTCGACATCATCGACATCACCATCGCCATAGAAGGCGAATCTGCGTTGGCGGCGGCGGCGGCGGCGGCCGTGTTCAGGATACGCCATGGGGATGCCACCCTGCATCACGTATGCTGGCGCGGGAACGACGTTGGGTGCGTACGGGTAGGGGGCCAAGGGTTGGCCGTAGCGGTGGCGGTCGTGGTGACGGCGACGCCAGCAACAACAGCAGTCCAGGAAGCGCCTGATACCGACAGCAGAGCAGATACAACAACAACAGCAGAGGAGAACAACCGCGGATGCAGCCAGGCCAGCCGTGGCGGCCCTGCCAACGGGGATACTGAAGTTGTTGTCGGAGGACGTCCCCTCGAACATGGGCGTGTGGTTGGCGAGGATAGTGTTGTTGGCCGAGGCCGCGAGCGGCGCCAAGGTGCTGATGGTGTCGCTTGACGTGAGTGTCGATGTGGCAGGGGTTGCGGTGAGCTCGCCTGCTGCGCCTGGCGGCAGAGTGCACTCGCGCGCGCCTGAATCCCAGTGTGTGAGGTATGTGTTGCGGTCGAGGCAGAATTGAGGACAAGGCTCCCACTGGCACAGGCGCATGTCCTGTGCTGGCGATGCCACGTGTTGCGGCTTCAGTACGATGATAGAGGTTGCAGCTGTCATGACGGTGAGAAGGCGTTGCGGACTCCACCAGAAGCGGTTGGTGTGTGTGCGGTGGAGCTTGTTGGCGCTGCAATGCTGGGGTGGGCGGTTGGGATTGCTGATGCGACGTTTACTGCTGCTGCTGGGTCGGGAGGTGGCTGGCATTGCCAGCTGCGCCAGTCAACCGCAGCCGTCAGTGCGATCTGCACCGCTCTGTTGGTGGTGGGTGGCTGGTGGAAGTTGGGGCGGGGGGGGGGGGACGGGGGAGGGACGAGGCGCGGTTGGTTCGGTGCCAGAGATCGTGTGGTCGTGCGTTGTTGTTGTTGGTATGTGTGTGTGTGTGTGTGTGTGTGTGTGTGTGTGTGTGTGTGTGTGTGTGTGTGTGTGTGTGTGTGTGTCGAGGGTGTGTGTGTCGAGGGTGTGTGTGTCGAGGGTGTGTGTGTCGAGGGTGTGTGTGTCGAGGGTGTTTGTGGGGTTGTGTCGACACGTCGAGGGTGTCTGTATCGAGGGTGTGTCGAGGGTGTGTGTGTCGAGGGTGTTTGTGGGGTTGTGTCGACACGTCGAGGGTGTCTGTATCGAGGGTGTGTCGAGGGTGTGTGTGTCGAGGGTGTTTGTGGGGTTGTGTCGACACGTCGAGGGTGTCTGTCGACAAGTCAAATGATGGATGGATGGATGTCAGAGCAACCTCACGCAACGCCATGAACAGAGAGCATGGGCTACGCGGCGTCACAGGCAAGGAAGAAGCATGAACCGCTCGCTCGCCTTGCTTGCTTACAGCTGGGCGCGCAGAAGCGCAGACATTAGGGTGAAGAACAATATGCCACTGCTTACTTGGGTCTTCCTTCTTCCATCCATGGTCGTGTCCGTGACGTGGGCGGGTGACACTAGCAGGTGACACTGGCGGCTGGCGTCGCTTTCGCCATTCTTCACATGGCGGCTGGCGCTTGCTTCAGCGGGTCTTCAGTAGAGTGGAAGATGAATGCATGCACGGGCACAATAGGTCGTCGTCGTCATTGTCACTGAACAAGAGGTCGTTGTTCCCGCACTGAATTTCAGCCTGTGCGTGCGTGCGTGCGTGTGTGTGTGTGTGTGTGTGTGTGTGTGTGTGTGTGTGTGTGTGTGTGTGTGTCTCGACATCATTCAACTACATCGATCTTTCTTCCTCTCACTCACTCACATACACTCCCACTCCCTCTCAGTCACCATCTCTCGATCTCTGTCTTGCGTGTTGCGGTTACAGTGCATTACGTCGTGTTGCTTGGGGTGTTGTGTATTTACATAAGTGACATTGTCCGCCGTCGGAGGCGGTTTGGTAGGGGTACAGTGACAGTACAACAGTGACGTGATGATGTGATTACACAACGGACAAAGCACACTGGCTGACGTGCATAGGAACGAAACCAAGACGAGACAATGAAAGGACATGGGGTTGGGGTTGTGGTTGGTGCCTCATCAGCGGAGAAGCCACGTGGGGACGTGGTTTAGTTGGACGCGTCGGCCTTCTTCTTGGCGTAGAAGGCGCCGCCAACAACAACGCCGACAAGCAGCAGCGCGCCAACAACGATGCCTGCAATGGCACCGGCGGAGAGGCCAGATCCGTTGGCGCCGGAGCTGGACGAGTCCGTGTTGCCGCTGGGATCGCCCTGCGCCACGTCATCGCAGCCGCCGTAGGCGTTGTTGCACTTGGTGGTCGTCGTGTAGGCAGGTGGCTGCGTGGTGTACTTGGGGGGCTGAGTGGTGTACACAGGTGGCTGGGTGGTGTAGACAGGTGGCTGCGTGGTGTACTGCGGAGGCTGGGTGGTGTACTGCGGAGGCTGGGTGGTGTACTGCGGAGGCTGGGTGGTGTATGCGGGTGGCTGTGTCGTGTACTGGGGTGGCTGTGTCGTGTATGCGGGTGGTTGGGTCGTGTAGACAGGGTAGGCGGGCCGCGTGGTGTAAGCGGGATGCTGGGTGGTGTACTGCGGGGGCTGGGTGGTGTAGGCCGGTGGCTGGGTGGTGTACTGTGGTGGCTGGGTGGTGTACTGCGGGGGCTGGGTGGTGTACTGCGGGGGCTGGGTGGTGTACTGCGGGGGCTGGGTGGTGTACTGCGGGGGCTGGGTGGTGTAAGCTGGAGGCTGGGTGGTGTACTGAGGAGGCTGGGTGGTGTACTGTGGAGACTGGGTGGTGTATGCAGGTGGCTGTGTCGTGTAAGCTGGGGCCTCCGTGGTGTAGACGGGCGCTTCCGTGGTGTAGGCGGGAGGCTTGGTCGTGTATGCCTTGGTGGTGGTGGTGGTGGTGTAGGACGGTGCCTCCGTGGTTGTGGTGTATGCCTTTGTGGTGGTGTAGGACGGGGCCTCGGTCGTGGTCTTGGGAGCATATGGGTTCTTCTCCGTGGTGTAGGACGGCGCCTCCGTTGTTGTGGTGTAGGCCTTGGTCGTTGTGTAGGCAGGTGCCTCCGTCGTGGTGGTGTAGGCCTTTGTGGTTGTGTAGGCAGGTGCTTCCGTCGTGGTGGTGTAGGCCTTTGTGGTTGTGTAGGCAGGTGCTTCCGTCGTGGTGGTGTAGGCCTTGGTTGTCGTGTAAGCGGGTGCCTCCGTTGTTGTGGTGTAGGCTTTCTTCGTTGTGGTGTACGATGGATACGCCGGTGCATCGGTTGATTCAAGGGCAGCCGTTGCGTGCAAGAGCATCAGGCACGCGGCGGCGACAGCGAACGCGTGCAGCCGCATCTTGTCGGTCGTGCGCGAAGAGGTGTGCGAAGAGGTGTGCGCGGGGAACCGAGGAACGCTCGCTCAAAGACGAGGAGGTGGTCAGTTGCGGTGAAGGTCACGCACAGTGTGTGGGCCTGGTCCTGGGCTTGGGAGGTGCTTGGCGTTTCCTCTTGAGGTCTGGTGGTGAGTCGCAATGCTGGGTGCAGATGAAAATGAACTCGCCATCACCTCGACCTTCACAAATAGGGCGAGAGCGCTGCGCTGCAGCCGGCTCGCTCAGGGGTGCAGCGGCGACGAAGCACACAGCGCGCAGGCGAGTGAGGGCGAGGGAGAGAGGGTACGTGCACATGTGCCATGTGCATGTTCGTGCTGGCGTGCGTGAGAGCGGCGTGTGTTCACGTGTGTGAGAGAGCAAGTGTGTGTGTGTGTGTGCGTGACATGATGTGACGTCGTTGTGTGAGGCCGTCAGCAATGTCCAGTCGGTGCGTGCCTGGAGGTGGGGATGTGTGTGTGTGTGTGTGTGTGTGTGTGAGTGAGTAGTGAGTGAGTGAGTGAGTTTGTGTGCGTGTGTGTATGTGTGCGTGGGAGTGGGGTTGGGGAAGCGAGTGACCAGTCGTACCATTGTGAAACATGCCCACAAGCAAGGCAAGGCAAGACAAGGCAAGGCAAGGCAAGGCAAGGCAAGGCAAGACAAGACAAAGGCATGCATGTGTTCGTGCACACGCGTGCATGGGAAAGCTGTGACACTTGCTTGCTTGCTTGTTACGAACAGTGACATTCAACCAAAGACCCGTTGTTGAAAACACTGGTTGGTAGCGACCAACAACTTGCTGTGGAAATTGTGTGTGCTCTGTGCTGTCCTTTCCATAAACTGAATTCAGTGTTCACTCGTGTAACCAGCATCAACAGCAATAGAGATGATGGAGGTGGCGCGTGAGTGTGCACTGGCCATCCTCGAGGAAGACTTTGGGCCGCTCGTGGCAAAGGTACGCTCTTGGTTGGATGTCCCTCTGTCTGTATGCGTGCGCGTATGTGTGTGGATGCGAATGTGGTTTGGAGTGGGGTGGAGGGAGAGTGTTTTGATGTGCAGAAGGCTCTGCAATCGTCCACTGACAAGAGACAAGATGCCTTGTGCATTGTGCCATTGTGACATTGTGACATTGTGACACTCCTTTTGCTCTGTGTCCGTCTGTCTATCTGTCTCTGTCTCTGTCTCTGTCTGTCTGTCTGTCTGTCTCTCTCTCTCTCTGTCTCTGTCTCTGTCTCTCTCTGTGTCCCCTCCGCCCCCCTCTCTGTGTCCCCTCCGCCCCCCTCTCTGTGTCCCCTCTGCCACCTCTCTGTGTCCCCTCCCTCCGTCCCCCTACCACTCACTCACTCACTCACTCACTCACTCACTCACTCACACTGTCGTCCGCCTCTATCTGAATCGTAGGTGGCCAAGGTCTTGTTCAAGTGCTCATGTACCATGCAGACCTTGGTGCGCTTGACAGAGCTCAGCCCTGAGCAAGTCCGAAAGAGCTTGCTTGTGTTGAGGCAGCACCACCTCCTCTCGTACACGGAGACACGGCGTATCTTCTACACTATCAACACACAGGTGCACGTGCACACCACCTTCGTTCAGCATCCACGCTTTCCACCGCGCCCATTCTGCTTACTGCTGGAGCCTTGCTGCCTGTACAAGGCGTACAAGGCGATCGGCTCAAATGCAAACAGCTTCCGCTCATATTGCGCCGACACTCTCCCACCTGATTTCCCACCACATTCACACAGACGGCACTCCTCCGCAATCGCTTCCCTGCCATGTGCCACATTGTCAACGAGCAATACGGCGACATGGAACAGCTCGTGCTTGAAACAGTTCTCTTGCACGGCACCATTTCGACTTGGTGTGTATGTTCAATTGCGCCTGCGTGCGTGCGGGTGTGGCGTGTGCACGCGTGCGTCTGTTTTGGACGCGTG